TTTTTGCTGAGGAAGACTGGCCCTGGGCTAACATCTGTGCCCATCTTCCTCTACTTTATATGGGACGCCGCCACTACATGGCTTAACAAGCAGTGCGTCGGTGCCCGCCCGGGATCCGAACTGGCAAACCCCAGGCCGCCGCAGTGGAGCGTGCGCGCTTAACCACTTGCGCCACCAGGCTGGCCTGGGGGTACTCACTCCGGGCAGGAGTTGGAGAACCTTGTTCTAGGCTGGCTCTGTTTTGGGCCTTACAGACAAGCCCTGCATCCCCTGCCTTCCTCTCACCCTCAGGAAACGACCACTTGGTGATGCTGACAGCTGATGGCGACCTCTACACTTTGGGCTGCGGGGAGCAGGGCCAGCTGGGCCGCGTGCCTGAATTATTTGCCAATCGGGGTGGCCGGCAGGGCCTTGGTAGGTGGCTTAGGTCCCTCTGGCAGGGCAACTTGGCAAGCCACCCGCTGGTGAAGGTCAAAGGCAGGAGGGATTCTCTGTATGTGTTGAGGCTTGCATCAGGTAGACCTGCGGTGATAGTTAAGAACTCTGACTCTGGAGCCAGACCACCCTGGGTTTGAATCCTAGTTCTTCCACCTACTGACTGTGGAATCTGGACATAGTTTCCTCATCTCTAAACCCACCTGCCTCTAAACCTACCTCACTGGGTTCTTGTGAAGTTAAATGAGTTAACATAGAACTGGCACATGGTAAGTTCCATGTAAATGTTACCTCCTATGGCTATGGGAGTCTGAGTGAGGCACTCGTACTCTCTCGGCCTCAGTTTCCTCTTCTGTATGATAGGGAGAAGAGTCCCTGCTTAGCCTCCCTCCAAGGCCTCTAATAATGGAGGAAAACACACAGGGCAGAGAGGAGAGGCTGTGTGTGTCTGCCACTGACTCTGGCCTCTCTGCCTACAGAACGACTCTTGGTCCCCAAGTGTGTGATGCTGAAGTCCAGGGGAAGCCGGGGCCACGTGAGATTCCAGGATGCCTTCTGTGGCGCTTACTTCACCTTTGCCATCTCCCAAGAGGGCCATGTATATGGCTTTGGCCTCTCCAACTACCATCAGCTTGGTGAGTCCCAAGCCCAGCATCCAACATAGCCCAGAGTGACCTGGGTTTCAGTCCTGGCTCTACCACTCATTCGTTGTGTACCCTTGGTGGGGTTACCTAACCCCTCAGAGGCACAGTTTTGTCATCTGTAAAGTGAGAATATCCATATCCGGGGTGGGGGGGCTCACTGTGGGAAGGGATGAAGGGACAGCTCCTTGGACACCTTCACTCCTGACAGCTCTATCCCTGTTTCCCCCCCCCGCCAGGAACTCCAGGCACAGAATCTTGCTTTGTACCGCAGAACCTGACATCCTTCAAGAACTCCACCAAGTCCTGGGTGGGCTTCTCTGGTGGCCAGCACCATACAGTCTGCATGGATTCGGAAGGTGGGATGTCTGGGTTGGGGGTAGAGTGTTCCCTGGGCACAGGCTTGGCCAGATTCCTGAGACCATGGTCCTTGGAACCTGGGCCTGCTCCAGGTTGGGCCAGATATGGGTCCATAAGGGTCACCCTCTTTCCCCCAGAGTCCTGGTGCTCTTCCAGGTATGAGTTCAGTGGGGGCTATGGGGGTTGTCCCAGGCCTCCCCTGAAACTGCAAGAGACACTGCAAACGTCTTTCTCACCGCCCTGGGAATGGGGACCAGCTCCCACCAATACAGGAACTCACCTGGCCTACCTGGAACACGCCCTCTACTACTCCTCATCTCTCTCCCTCCTCCCACAGGAAAAGCATACAGCCTGGGCCGGGCTGAGTATGGGCGGCTGGGCCTTGGGGAGGGTGCTGAGGAGAAGAGCATACCCACCCTCATCTCCAGGCTGCCCGCCGTCTCCTCAGTGGCTTGTGGGGCCTCTGTGGGGTATGCTGTGACCAAGGATGGTGAGTAGGGCTGCCCACACTCAGTCTGGTTGGGGCTTGGGGGTCGTGATTCTTACCAAACTGCCCAGCCACCTCTGATGTCTATCGTCAAATGGAGCTGAGATTCAGAGAGCAGTGTCTGATGATGTTGCTTTTCTCCTGATTGTCAGAAGCTCTGGCTTTGATGAACATAAAATGAGCAAACAGATTATTTTAATAAGGCGATTTGTTCTGTAGAGGAGAAAAACAGCAAAGAGGGATATATCACTGAGGCCCAGACAGGCAGTAGGACTTGACCCCAGGTCTCCAGACTCCTAACTCAGGCTTCTGTTTACATTTTCCACTGTGGTGATCCCTTTATTTACAACCTAGTATGGGCTAGCTTCCCAGGGAGTTGTACTTAGAATTTTATTAGGAGAAAGAAGGCTTAGTAGTCAGGGTCCTGGCAAGCACAGCAGAGGAGAGTGTGAACAAGTGGTTGCCAAAGCCTGAGTGGGTGAGTGGGACAGCCATGGAGGCCTTGAGAAGTCTGGGGCTGGCGGAGATGCTGGATCTGGGATTATCTGGGGAGAGTTCCTGAGGAAGTAGGGCTTGTACTACACCTTGAAGGTTCAATCCTTTATGATAAGCAAAGGAGGGCGTCCCAAGCACAGGAACATCCAGAGCAATCTCAAAGGCTGCTGGTCCTGAGAATGGAGGCGGGTGTAGGGGTTTGGGGAATGGCTAGTCATGTAGGGCCTTGAATGCCATCCCTAGGAGCAAGGAGAAGTCTTTGGCAATGTGTAAGGACTGTGGTCTCTAGTTGACAAAGCTCTTTCTTATCCATCATTTCCTTGGCGTCTCCCATCTTCCCTGAACTCCCAGAGACTGGGACATTGCCAGGCTGCTACAGGCCAAGACTAGAATTCACGTTCATGTCCTAGTCTTCTCACACTACAGAGAGGCGGAGTAGAAATCCTAGAGACAGCTGCCTCCATTTCTCTCCCTTGTAGGTCGTGTTTTTGCCTGGGGCATGGGCACCAACTACCAGCTGGGCACGGGACAGGAGGAGGATGCCTGGAGTCCCGTGGAGATGACAGGCAAACAGCTGGAGAACCGTGTGGTCTTATCTGTGTCCAGTGGGGGCCAGCACACAGTCTTACTAGTCAAGGACAAAGAGCAGAGCTGATGAAGCCTTGAGGGCCTGGCTCCCGGCCTCACCACCCTCCCTCCCAGAACAAGGAAGCCGTGACCGCTCCAGATTCCAGCAGGCCTCTCCCAAGCCCGAGGACTCTGTCATCTCCTGCCTCTTTCCCATCAGCAGAACAGAATCTTTTCCCTCTTCTTCCTCCTCTCTGGAATCATCCTGGGACCTACAGGATGAAGGGGGGATGGAAGAGGGGAAGGGGTTTTGTCAGAAGGAACACTGCTCACCCAGAGCTATGTGGTTAGACCTTTCTCACTCATCCCTAACTCCCATGGTCCTGGCTAATCCTGGTTTGCCTACCAAAAACGAAAACTTTCTCCCCTGGGTGTGTGGTGCCCACACTCTGAGAATTGGGGTTCCATCAAGTCCTACTGTAGTCATGTGCCACTCTTCTGTCCTTCAGAGTCCACAGGCAGACACATGGTATAGTCATCAGACCCAGCTGTCATGGACCTGTGCCTGAGGGAAACTGGAGAAGGGGCAGGGCTGCTCGGCCATGGGCAACCCCAAGCCAAATATTTGGCCCTGAACAGGTGTCCATGGGGCAAAATAACACACAATGATCCTCCACTTGATCAAGAATAAAGCCAATCAGCCTTTCTCCCAGAAGCACAAAGCATTCTGCTCTTCAGGTATTGCCTTCCTATCCACCCATCCAACCTGCCTCACCTGCAGCCAAAGGCCTGAAATCTGGAAAGGAAGCTACACCTGCAGGGCAGGCCATGTGGGGGCAGGGGGGTGGAGAAGGGGGATTTTTATAAACAAACTTATAGCAATATTGCGAGTAAAGGGAGGGAGGGGAAGAGGGTTGGAGGGGCAGAGGCTGGTCCCCAGGAGGGGAAGCAGCAGCTTGGACAGTGGCTGACAAAATAGAAAACAGTTTTGATTTTTTTAAATGTAAAATATTTTGGAGGGGAGAGTGAAATCTTTTAACACTTTGAATAAATTTAGAGTTTTATAAAACAGGCCATTTGTTTTCTGCACACTCCCTGCTCTTTTAAGGGAGCACCTGCTGTGTTGGGAAGGACAGACTAAACCTACGCCAATGAACCTGGTCAAGTCTAGGACTTCAGTGATGTCAAGAATGGTTTGTGTGCCAGGCAGCTGTTGATGTTCAGCTGTTCCATACAAATCAAAAAAGAGAGAAAAATTGATTCATTTTTGCTTAGGTATTTATGTTTCAGGAATCACTGCATTTTTTTTTTTTTTTTTTCCGGTGAGGAAGATCAGCCCTGAGCTAACATCTGATGCCAGTCCTCCTCTTTTTGCTGAGGAAGTCTGGCCCTGGGCTAACATCCGTGCCTTTCTTCCTCCACTTTATGTGGACGCCGCCACAGCATGGCCTGACAAGCGGTGCGTAGGTGTGCACCCGGGATCCAAACCCCGGGCTGCCAGCAGCGGAGCGCGCACACTTAACCGCTACGCCAAGGGGCCGGCCCCTGGGTTTTTTTTTTTAATTATGCTGCATAATGTGAGAAACATGGGGTGGATCTTTTACTATCCTAATCCCAAACCAAGATTTTTAAGTACAGTATATCTCTATACTAAGCTTGTATCATTTTCAACAGCTGATGTAATTGATTAAACATGATTAGCTGCACAGTAAGTCTTAAGACAACTTATGCATATTAATGTAGATTTTCACAGGCATTTGAGCACCCAAATCATATCCAGCTGACCTGTCCAATATGGTGGTTTCTAGCTACATGTGGCTATTTACATTTAAGTCAATTAAAATTTGTAAAAATTTAAAATTCCTCGGTTGCACTAACCACCTTTCAAGTCCTCAGTAAGCTTATGTAGCTAGTGCCTATGGTATTGGGTTATGCAAACAGAAAAATATATATAGAACATTTCTATAATTGCAGAAAGTTACAATGGACATTGCTGATATAAAAGGTCTGTATATGTGTAACAGGAAAGTTTTATTAGTGCCAGGAGGATTCTTCTTGGATGTTAGTGACTTCTTAGAAAAATGAATATGATGTAAAGTAACTTAAAATGTATTCTGTGATTTTTTTTTTTTCCCCTTGAATTTTTAGTTTTGATGCCGGCCCTATACTGATTAGAAATTGACTTCTTGGAGCCGGCCTGGTGGTGCATCTGGTTAAGTGTGCGCACGCCACTGCAGAGGCCTGGGGTTCACAGGTTCGGATCCCGGGCACGCACCAGTGTACCGCTTGTCAAGCCATGCTGTGGCGGTGTCCCATATAAAGTAGAGGAAGATGGGTACGGGTGTTAGCCCAGGGCCAATCTTCCTCAGGAAAAAAAGAGGAGGATTGGCATCGGATGTTAGCTCAGGGCAGATCTTCCTTCACAAAAAAAAAAAAAAGAAATTGACTTCTTAGAAGGGAAAATCACATTTTTGATTATATTTTCTTTGTAAAGAAGTACTTGTGTGTCTGCTACTCTTCCCCTCTCCCCCTCCAAAAAAGTCCGTTTGGATTAGATTTACTAGAGTTTTCCCTTTTGACAATAGAGCAGACTGAAAGTACCCTGTTCTTTTTTTTTTTTTTTT